AGCTCAGTTATGAAACCCTAAAGCACCAGAGTATTTTGGTATCCTGGCCAGAATGCTGACCTGATGCTGAACCCTGTTAGACAGAAACTCATCATGGAGTATCAGGACGGCCAAAAGTCTGGTGTTCTGCTAAAACCGTAGTGCTCACCAGGTAGACACCAAGAATGCCATCTTTCCACAAGGCTATAAACTTGTGACAACACCAGTGTCACTGATTTCACTGGACATCTTGACTCAACACCTGTTGCAGAGTATCTGTTGTGTGATAATTACTGGTCTTTTACGAGGAAAATATGTTAAAGCATGACAAATTAAAATCTCCCTGGTCAAAATGTCCAGTGAAACAAATCTGAGCAGGATGTAATGTATTTATTCTACTGCAGAGACCATGTGTTTTTGTTTTCAGCCCATTTACACAAGCGTGGGCCATTACCACCAAGAGCTCTTTTTACATCTTTGTTGGTGTCTCCTACGTGAATGTCACCACTGTTTCATTCAAATATGGTGTTCTCTTCATTTCGCTCCTGTTGTGAATCCTGCGGAGGATCTCCTGCTGTGGACTGGCTGAAGAAACTCCTCAGGAAGTCCAGAGGCTCTCATTTGGACCTTTGCATTCACACATACAGCCCCTCTGGTGAAAGTGCAGTGGTTCTACAGATTTCAGTGCATGACTGAAAGCAGCCTTTTAAACATGTTGACAAGATTAAAAACTTCATTTTTACTTGAGGGGGTCCATATCTGAAATTACCATGCAAACGTCTCATCCCTAAACACTTTTTTTTCTCAAATACCTTCTAAATTTCTGTCTGAAACATTTAACAGTCATGGGTGTTTCAAAACTTGGATAAATCTGTTAAGGTTGCATGCATGTGTTACAATCTGAGGGTTTTATTGTTTCCCTATTCCCCATTTTTCATTTTACTTGGCACATTTGCCCCAAAAATCAATGACTGATGTTTAATTTTGGTTATAGTTTACTGGTAGTACTATTACGGTGATTGACTCCTTTCCTGTGATGGCGGAGATGTCTCATACAATCACATTAACAAAAAACATGAATGCAAAAGCCACAACACAACTCCAAAAACCACAGCAATCATGCAGAAGCTACGCAACAAGAACAGCTACAAAGGAAGTGAACACTTCCTTTCTCCTGTCAAGTGAGCAGTTGTTAATGAAAACCCTACCAAACCAGTTCCCGCTTAAAATGTGGTGCTTGTCTATTTAACGGTACCGATGCTAGGAGCACCCAAAAAGGAAAAACACACCTGTTCCCTGACACGTAAATTAGACAAGCATTAAATGTTGTTGCTTATGAAAATGTATTTTTGCATTCGTGTTGCACGGGTCTTTTTCTGTAAATGTGCTTGTGTGAGACGTCTCTGCCACTAAGGGTGGAAATCTCTAGGCACCTCCAGGGCTCCAGAAATTTACAAAATAACTACCACAACAAAACAAGTAAACATGGAACTTCCTCTTACAGAATGCATCTCCTTCCCCTCCCTTTAGTGCACGCCCCCCTGAGGACCTTTAGGGCCTGGCACCTCTGAAGGCCAACCCTTGTAGTTGGGCCTTCTAGTTCTTTTGCCCTGGCTGAACCTCATCTGTTTAACCTCCATGGCAGTCACCTCCTCCAAGCTAGTTCCCTCAAGACTTATTCTAACCTGTCTCCACAGGGACCCTCTGACATCAGATTGAATCCTCTTCTGTGCTGATAATCCTGTCATATATTATTCTGAAATTGGTTATTCTGCACTTTTATTTTTGTTACTTTAAGTACATGCTGATTAGGGCTGGGTATCACCACATATTTCACAAATAGATTTGATTCCGATTCACAAGGTTTCAATTCAATATTGATTCCTGCTCTCAGAACACACACAAAATGTTGTGTCCTCCTGGTATTTCATGTGATAGCCTATACAATGATGACTTTAACAAAAAATGGGGGGCATATTTGCAAGCCGCAGTGGTGCGAGTAGTTGTAAAATGTCTCCAAAAATAGTCACAAAATGCAGCTAAATGGTCACAGCCCTGACCTCATGATTCAACTCTAATTCAGAGGGCTACGATTCAATTATAGAAAGATTATTGATGCATCTAAGCATTTTAATATACATGATTCAGTTTTGTGTGACTATATATGTGTGCATCTTTACTAGCCCCATGATCTGTGCTTTACAAAAGTATTTTAAACTGTCACTTTTGTTACAAGTGTGCAGTAATTTACAAAATAGGTTATAAATACATAATATGGTTTTCAATTCAAAAATAAGACTACAACAGTCTATAATAGAGGTCAGTGATCTACACATTGATTTGACATTAATTCCATTTAGACTGCATCTGTGCTGCATCTTTAGCCTTTCTGTATCAGAGTGGTCCCGCAACATTGAGGCGCATTACTCCACTGGTCAGCAATCTGTCCCTCGGCTCTTTTCTCTTCTCATTTTATACTAGTCTCCTCACACTTAAAGGTACAGTGTGTAGAATTTTGTGATATCTAGTGTTGAAATTGCATGTTGCAGCTGAACACCCCTCACCGAAAAGTAATGTTTTACTGAGCGTTAGTGGACTTTCCATTCAGTCAGTGTTGAGGAAACATCTTGTCAAGCTCTTGTGTAGCTTTCTGCTGCTACAGGTCTTCTGGTGCACACTTGAAATACCTGAGAGTTGGACATGATAAATGGGAGTGGGATTAGGGTGACGGACGATGCAACCATGGCTTTCTTTGTGCAACTGGGCCCATAGCATGTATGTGTAAAAAAAAAAGAAAAAAAAAAAGACCTGCTTATGCGCTGTTCTCATCTCAGGTTCCCATGACATAAAAATCATAAAGAAAATCCTATCATTAACAACACAGCTTGAAATCTTACAAAGATTATAATAGGGGAAACATGCAAAGCAGGGATGATGCAAACCACTGGGCAGCACCAGAGCTGATCCAGATATTTGATAAATTGAAATATATCCCACTGCACTAAAAAAAACTCAAACTGAAAATAAATGATGGCAGTTTCACCTTATATGACAATCAGTGTCCGTTGTTCTATTGTGGTTTTGACCATTTTAATGGCATTTAGTAGGTAAAACTAAATTATTGGGTGCTGTTGAAAACTGCATCTTGACCTCTGTGGGAATAAAATGATGAAGAGAAACGGTCTAAACCCTATTAAAGCCTGACAGATAATATGTAACTTATATATAGTGATGGTTTCCCAGCTGGTTACACTTTCTTGATTCAGAGCTTTTATCAGACATCAAGATTTATTCATTTGATATAATTAATTGTAGAACACCTTCATACGAGACACGTCCTGAACAAAAGGAAGTCAAAACTAATGGACACTGAATGGGGACGGATTCCACGAGAACACGTTTGTTTTAGGGAAAGTGTTGAGACCAAAACCAAAATGATAGTGTCTGATAGGCAGGTGCACGCCGCCAGGGGGCCACTAAAGCACTAACATGCATCTATTGCAGGCTACAATGTAGCTAGTTACAGTTAGCTTTCATTAAACCTAACGTTACAATCAAATTGAGATAACAGGTTCCAGTGCAACCTGCTTGTACGACACAAAAGCTGCAGACAAGCGTAAAGTGAGAGCTGCCCACAAACGCAGTGAATACTGTGGTCAGGCGAAAGCTAATGTTAGCGGCTGCATGCTAACGCTGGACAGCAAAGGGAGAACTTTGTTTATCACACAACCGGACATTTATGTGTTAGCCGGTTAGCTCAGGTAATCAACTGAGACTCGACCTACCGTGAATCGTGCGACATCTCAGGACCGTGAAGCTCCGGAGCAAAGTCCAGAGAGTATCCGCTCTGTGGCCGACGTCTGTGCACCGCTGCAGGCCGCGACCGTCCCACCGGAACGTAGCAATCGGGTTGGCGCAATGACGTCACGACGCTCACTGTATAACCGTAAAATATTGATGATGATAAAGATTAAAATAAAAAATACTTTTCCTTCTTAACACATTTTAACATGATCTTTATTCATCGTTAATAATAACAATAATAACAAACAAAAACGACATTTATCAACATTATTTTACAGTTAAACTAACTAAATACATACACAGTACATTCCAGCACTAAGAAAACGAACAACCTCCGATAGTTGCTGACTCAGGCACGAAAACATGCAGAAGATATTCTTTATTTCCTCCTGTTGATTAACTTGTTCAAGAACATTACTGGATGTTGTGTAAAATGGCTCCCTCTGCTGGTAAGATATTTGTTATGAATAGAGTTTTTCGAAAGACTTTTAATACCAAAGGGATTTCCTGTATCTTATATGTGTAACATACAAAAGAGATTTCATCTATAATCATTTTGATCATCATTCAAAGGAAAACGGATTGACCTTTTATGTCAAAATGTTTGGGGTAAATGTACCAAGTTAAATTAAAAATGTGGAATTAGGAAACAATAAAGCCATCAGATTGTAACACAACTCAGGATGAAGTTACAGAACCTCAAAAAATGACAAACTCGTATTCAGAACATTTTTTTTAAATTTGTTTTGCTGTATGGAAAAATACATTCAATTATTGTATAAATGATCATGATAATGACTAATTAGAATAAGTATTTGCAGCCTTATATATTAAATCATATTTGTCACAGTGTATTGTAATATTATAAGGTGATAATGAGATTAATATTTTGAGAGAAAAGGTGGTCAAGTCCGGATAATATTTTTAAAATGTATGTAATTGTGTTAACAAAGTAATCACAGCCATCATCATCATCAAAAGAGAAAAACAGACATCCAGTCAAGAAACAACAAGCAATGATTTCTGGATCAAATTAAGTTATAATATGCAAATTTAAAATGCAGCAGCTACATTATTCATAATAATCTCATAGTTACAACATTTGTTCATTAGCAGCTCAGGAATCAGTCCTTAAGCTGAATAAAATATTTATTAGAGCAAGCAATGGTAATGTAGCAGTCAAAAGTCCGCTCACACACACACACACACACACACACACACAATTTACCCAATTTGATCATGTACACATAAACATAACAGCATCAGTGGTTTGGGTTGGGTATGAGGGGGAAGTTGGGAAATTAACTTTCGATAAACCTTGCTACAAGGGTAAACATGTGATTTTTGCAGCAATATTCGTCCTTCTTCATTTCTATATCCAGGTTCCACCCTTCAAATGAATGTCCTGGACATGTTCCTGTTATTCTGAACGTGTCTGACCCACAAAATCTCCTGCAGTGATCTTAAAGTGAAAGGCAAACTCCAATTTTTCAGAAATGTTTGGAGTTCATATCTGAAAAAGGCCTTTATGTTTTGTAAAGCCTTATACTTCTGTATTACCAGCCAGCTCATCTTTGTAATGACTGTCTGTTGACTTTGTGTCAGTCTGAGAGTGTGTCTCGTCCTCCTGGAAGGCAGTCTCCAACACGTTCAGGAAGGACTTGCGGACTTTTTCCTTAAAATCTTTGACCATAAACACATAGAGGAGTGGGTTCAGGCAGCTGTTGAGAAAGGCCAGGCTGGTGGCTATAGGGACACCAATAGTGAGGACATGGCCCAATTCAACACTTTGATGAGTACTTGAGAAATGAACCAACTCAATAATAACCATGATGTGAAACGGTGCCCAGCACAGGAAGAAAGTGGTGATGACGGCAGCGATAATCTTGAAGGGGCGGCTTGATTGGCTGGCCAGGGTGCGGTTCCTCCTGAGACGATGGATGATCACCGAATAGCAGGAGACGATGACAGTGAAGGGGACGACAAATCCGAGGAGGAAGCGACTGATGGTCATGGTCCGATGTCGAAACTGTCGCAGCTCAATCACAGATGGTGTTTCATAGTCATCAGAAAGAGCAAAGTTGTTGAAGCAGATGGTTTTGCCTTCATCAAAGTATACAGTGTCCCTGAAGATGAAGTATGGAACACTGTGAATCAGAGCCAGTATCCAAACACCCACAATCATCCAGGACGCCATTCGTACACTTCGGTGGTTTTTGGCCCAGACAGGCCATAGCACAGACACACATCTGTCCACGCTGATCACCACCAGGATGTACACACTGGCAAACATGTTCAAGGAGCTTACAAGGGCATAGAGTTTGCACATGAAGTTGCCAAAAGGCCAGTGATTATTCAGAATCAGGTACGTCACACCCAGTGGCAGAAACGCCGTGAAGAGGAAGTCGGCCACAGCGAGGTTGAGGAACCAAACTGTGTTAACTGTTTTCTTCATCTTGAACCCGGTCACCCAGATAACCACWCCATTCCCGAACACACCGAGAACAAAGGCCAGGCAGTAAACAATGAGAGACATGATGCGGAGAGACTGTCTCACAGTGACAAGGTTGTCAGAGACATCTGTAAGGTTGGTAACGTTTTCATAGTTGAAGATTGTGGTCGTCTCCATCGTTGTCTTGAGACCTGCAATTAAAATATTATATATTTTCCCAGTTAATGATGATAACTACTACTGCCACTACTACTACTACTACTACTAATACATAATTAAAGCAAAACACAAACAGAGGAGTGTCTCCATCACTTTCAACTTACATTTATTTCCTGTAGACTCCATCTTTTAATCTAAACTTGAAAAACATGTCGTCACCACAAAATTGAATCATTTATGTTGTGCAGACATTTTTTTGTCTCCATGAAAATATCAATTCCCCAAAGTGTCACTGTGTAAATGCACATACAAACAAATCTTTTTTGGAAGTAGTTATCGATCCAGAATGGCGGCAAATTTTCTAAAATAATTCAACAACTGTAATATTATTTATATTCAAATCCAAGGTAAGATGTTGGTCTTGGTCTAATCATTTTGTCGTGATATTTCCTTTTAACAACTTAAGCTCATGTAAATTGGCAAATGTAACGTACCTTTCTCTGTTGTTGATGAATCTGCAGCAGTTTCCCTGATCAAACTCTGACAGGTTAATACAAACTACTCTGTGTGTATTTATATGTCACTGCCCACAGAGAGGAGGAACCACAAGCTGCACGCACACAAGAAACACGTCTCCACCCTCAAATCTCATGCACATGCTCACACTTGCATTGTTTGCACTGTGTAATTGAAAATGTCTTGTGACAAAAAGAGTCTTCAATAATACATGAGCTGCATGATGTGTATGTTAATATATTACAGTTCTTCAACCTGAAGATACATGATAGTCTTTGTTGTTTTGGGTTGACAGTGGGTATCAGCATCTGTGTAGTCTTACATCTTTTACTGGCCCCTCACTTCACCTGGCCTTGCACCACTTTACAAGAAAGTCACAGCAGCATCTGTCTGTAAATCAATGCTGCCAAACAGATGGATGAAACAGCAGCCCACTCTGCGCTGTAGCCGGACATGCTGACCATCTGTTGATCCATTCATGATGTCTGAAGTAGGAATATATTTGACACATTCTGATGACAGCAACTTCACATGTCTTGGTTGTCAAGCATCCTGTTTTGCACTGCTTTTCAGAATACATCATGCTGTCCCTGTATTCCACTGATTTGCAGCCTTTGGTAGAACAAACATATTTATTACAGTGTTTTAAAGTGATATGAGATGAACATGACGAGTGAGAAAGGTGTTCAGTCCAAATAATATTTTAATAATAGAAATAATGATATACAACAAAAATCACAACAACAGTCATCATCATCATTTATGGCCTTGTAAAAGAGTTCTCCAATATAAGGTTAAAAAATAACAATTATCATTTACACTGTTTACATTAAAGTTGATCTTTCCTACAGAGGTTTGTATTATGATATAGAAAAGTGTGCTATTACAGTTGTTTCCATTCAATTAATCTGCAGCAACTTTGAGAACTGATTGATTCTTGCTTCAGAAATGTATCTGTATTTTTGTCCATAATGAAGGTAAACGGACGCGATACATGAAAAACGTTGAGACGTTAGCACCACATGCTTATGTACTCAAGGTGGGGTGCACAGACATCTCAATATTCCCTCTAAAAACAACTAACAATGATTGAAAGAAACATTAAAATGCAAGTTTACAATAACCACAGTAATCTGAGGCTATCAAGCTCTCATGAATCAGTCCTAATGTTGAATAAAATGTTTACCAAAGCATGCATCTGAGACGTGTTGGACACACATAATGGTGTCAGTGGGTTGGGTATGAGGGGGAAGTTATGAAATTAACCTTTGTATAATCCTCAGTGATTAGGCAACACTTTTTAACACTATAGATTCTATTCTCAGTTAATTTACAGTCTACCCTTATTAATGTTTTGTGGGTCATGTGACAGCGTATTTAATGATGAAAACAGTCTATGATCATGGCTTATAAACTAATCGTTTTATTGCATGCTGTCTTTGATGCCACATACGGACGAAGACATCGAAATCAACAACTGGAGTTTAAGAGACAGATGAGAAACACAGAGTTCCCTTTTATCAACCACATGTTACACCATCTCTGTCATGTTTGTGTAGCACAAATTTAACTAAACTAATGTAATACCTATTCTGAAATTTGTGTGTCCAATAAAGTGGCACAGTTCATCCCTTATAGCTGTCATGGTGCGGCTAACTAAAGTACTGTATAATGAATGGCAACACTCAAGAGGCACTGTACATGTCACTCAGTTTGACTATGTGTGTTTATGTGTATACCAGTTGTATGTGTGCATTTTTCTTTTTTTTTTCTTCTTCTCTGTAAAGCATTCACTTGCTTTGATTATGACATTTATCTTACATAAATAAACTTTATTGTCCCCCGTTGTTCAGTATCACCATGTGTCAGCTTCATAAGTAGACAGATATCTGCTATAGACCTGACCGTTGGCAAATCATAAAAAAAATATCAATCAAATAATAAGAGTTGAAATATTTAAATCTCAGATTGTGTATACAGGTTGTCTTGAGGGTCCATGAATATAAAACAATTAAAAAAAGTTATTTGTTATATACAGTTATATATGTTATACACAGTTAGACTATTTGTTTATCCATATCATGGGCAACCTTATACCTCAGCATCAGACACAGACTTCTCTTTACTCCGACTGGTAACCATTGAGTTTGTGTATGTATATGAGCGAGACACTTCCTCCTGGAAGGCAGTCTCCAACACGTTCAGGATGGACTTGCGGACTTTTTCCTTAAAATCTTGGCCCATGAACACATAGAGGAGTGGGTTCAGGCAGCTGTTGAGAAAGGCCAGGCTGGTGGCTATAGGGACACCGATAGTGATGACGTGGTCTAATGTTTCACTCGAGTGGATCGCTGTGTGATTTACCATCTCGATTAGAGCCATGATGTGATAGGGCGCCCAGCACAGGAAGAAAGTGGTGATGACGGCAGCGATGATCTTGAAGGGGCGGCTTGATTGGCTGGCCAGGGTGCGGTTCCTCCTGAGACGATGGATGATGATGGCATAGCAGGAGACGATGACAGTGAAGGGGACGACAAATCCGAGGAGGAAGCGGGTGATGGTCATGGTCTGATGTCGAAACTGTCGCAGCTGATTCACTGATGGTGTTTCATAGTCGTCAGAAAGTGCAAAGTTGTTGAAGCAGTTGATGATGTCTTCATTGTGATAGGATGGCCCAGTGTCCTTGAAGATGAAGTATGGAGCACTGAGAATCAGAGCCAGTATCCAAACACCCAGACTCACGCAGGAAGCCTTGCGTACACTTCGATGGTTCTGTGCCCAGACGGGCCACACCACAGACACACATCTGTCCACACTGATCACCACCAGGATGTAGACGCTGGCAAACATGTTCAGAAAGCTCACAGTGCTGTTCAGCTTGCACATGAAGTTGCCAAAAGGCCAGTGGAAATCCATGGCAGTGTACGTCACGCTCAGCGGCAGGAACGCTGTGAAGAGGAAGTCGGCCACAGCGAGGTTGAGGAACCAAACTGTGTTAACTGTTTTCTTCATCTTGAACCCGGTCACCCAGATAACCACTCCATTCCCGAACACACCGAGAACAAAGGCCAGGCAGTAAACAATGAGAGACATGATGTTGAGGGACTGTCTCAGCTCAGCGTGCTCGTCCTTGTAGTCATACTCTTCGTCGTCCTCGTACAAGGAGACATTTTTTGTAGTGATGTCTGATGTATTCATGGCGTAGAAAGGTGTAGCAGTCATTAACGCCATCATTGTCTTTGAACCTGAAACAAAAAAAAAAAAACATTTAAATGTAAGACCAGAGTTCAATAACAATCCATAATCATACATCAGATTAAACTGAACCTCAATTTCAAAGCTGGAATTCAAAGCTGGAATTCAAAACCAGGACATTCACTGCGCTAAAAAAAATGGCAGTTCCTCAAAAAGGCCTGGGGAGGATGCTGTTTGCAGGGGCATGACTTGAACTCTGTAATCAGGGGGTAACAACAATCATGAGCCCGCTGCTTCACAACCTTTTCATGACCCGCAATAGACAATAAGACAAATCTTATGCGACACCAACTTTCACACGCAAGAAAAGAAAAGAAAGAAAACAAAACGTTTTTCTCTGTAAGCTTGGCACAACATGTAAACAGCACACCATGTTTCCCTGAATGAAATCCACATCAGTGCCCATAGGGAGAATCAGATGAACACAACTTTTTTGAAAGATCAGAACCACAGACAATAAAAACACCCAGTCAACTAATTGGACTCAATCTCCCCTTTAGTCGCACTTGAACGGTTAATTACATCTAAATACATTTTCTTTTAATTAAGAGCAATAAAGAACTTTTTAGATGCAGAGAACAACGTGAGAGAAAGCGAATTAGAAACCAGACAACCTGGATCCTTCTGTGATCTTCCTGACAGCCTGAGACACACACACACACACACACACACACACACACACACACACACTGAGTTTGTGAGAATAATAACAGTACCTTCCACAAAGCTGCAGTCCAGAGGAGGATGTGTCCGGACAGCTCAGACGAACCCAGGAGGAAAACTGCGGAGCTCAGATTCCGCACTCCTTAAATATGTGACGTCATCACTCCCATCAAGGCGGGACCACTGACAGCCGCCGCCCCCCCGCCCCCCCCCCCAAACCACTTTTTGTATTATAGACCCACACTTGACTGTGCACATGAATTTAATATCAGAAATAATCTGACATTAAACACAAATTTGGCCTCCTTACCCATTCTCAGTGTGGTGACCTGGTATTACTTGTACTGTGGGGACCTAAATCTGTTTACACAGTCACATTGTGCTGACAGAAGCAGGTCTGCATAATGTAACATCATCATTATCGACATTTTAAAGTGCAGACATGTTTTAATGTAGGGTTCAGGTCAAGGTTAGGGTTGAGGTTGAGGTTGAGGTTAGGTTAAGGTTACGTTTAGTTAAGTTAAGTTAAGTTTAAGGTTTGGGTTAGGGCTAGGGCTAGATTAGGTTTAGGTATAGATCTAGGTTAGTAACTATGGTTAAGGTAAGAGTCTCCAAGAAATCCATATAATGTCCCCTGAAGTCATGGAAACATGATTGCGTGTGTGCAGCTTATGTAACATACAAACATTCATTTTACTTCTCTCTGACTCTCAGGTCTTATCTGCAGGATGTTCTCTGCTTATGAGTTGGAGTCTGATGCAGAACATCCTACTGCAACACGTTCATTTATTGGGAAACTCCAAAAGTGAAAAAAAGAACTAACCAAACAGCTAAACGCATAAATTGTGGGTTTGCTGGGTTTAGTGTATATGAGAGTGGAGCTGCAACTTCTCTTATTCACCAGTGATGCTGCTGCTTAATGTGTTTTTCGTTATGTGGGCTGAACACATGTTTGCTTGAGGTTGAGCATAATTGCTCCATGTTGACCGTTTGAATTGCCATCTGGATGTGTAGGTTACATAGTTTTATAAATCCATTCTCTTTACCTTGTACTATGTGTACGAAACTCACACCAGAAACTGTTGCTAATTGCAGGTTACCAAACTGTTTTATTTTTTTTTTTTAGCACAGGCTACTCTCTCGTTGCCTCTGTCCACTTGAAGCTGGACAAAACTGTGGTAGCTCTGTTGATCCACTCTCTTCTGAGGAAAACAAATCTTTGGATCTAGAGTCAGTATTAGTTGGAATTCCACAGGTCTGAGTTATCTACTGCTGTTCCTATTTGTCAGCATCTTACTCTCTTAATGTGATCTTTTCTGGAACTGCAAAATAAATTTGACTGCTGTTTGTGATGTTAGTGAGGTGCCATACAGTGTTACATAGAAATGAGCAAACAAAAACACCACTAACTACCTAGAATAGAGAGTGCACCAAATTGCATATGCATGTCTTGAGATCAGATACATAAACCATGTACACAGAAAGCCATGGCAGCTTCCTCTGTTCATAGATACAGCATTCTACATATGTTTCTCTTTAAGATGCATGCATTATTTGCTGAGAAATTCCTCAAGATGTCAAACAATGCCAAATCGTTCAAACAGACAAATGGAAATGTATACATAACCTCCTTGGCAGAGGGCAATTTGCAGCATGGTTTTCTATGTTTGCAGATTTTTGGGAATTTATTACCGTAGTTTAGTGAAACAAATTAAGCATCAACTCCTCAATAAAAAAGTAGAGAAGGACACGTTTGGATTAAATAGGATGTTTTATTTGCTGTTGCTTTTTGAATTAGATATATACAACATGCCAAGAGGTGCACAAAGAATGGGAAGGAACGAGAAAACAGCCAAAAACTAAAGGGAAGCCACCTTTAAACTAATTTAATATATATTCATACCAAGACTTGACAAGACATATCACAAGTGAATGTCATTACATCTCCTCAAGCAGATAAAGAAAATCCCAACAGCACGAGACGTTAGGAACATAAGAACAAGATGGGGCAGAGTTGGCTGCAGACACTGAAAATCAATCTATTCTCCCCAGAGTAGAGTCCCACCTTTCAGTGGGGGAGAAAAGTTGCATCTGAGTTTAACTTCATGCTCATATTTCCTCCCACACGGTTCCTCTTTACTCCTGATTCCTCTGCCCCACTACCCACACATTAGTGCATGTGTAAGTGCTATGTTTTCTTTTTTTGGTAGATTTTCCATGGAGCATTGCAAAATATGAAGAATAAGCTGTTTCCTCTATCACTGTCATCTGTGTTCCTTCACATTTCAGGGCTAAACACACTGATGTCGAGGATTAATTCTTATAATATGGCTCAGTTTGACATCCTGGAGCAACAAGATTCATCAGACAAGAATTAAACAGATGTTGCAAAGGATGTGGCCAAAACATTTAAAACAGCTGGTTTGTGCCAACTTATATTTAAATGTCAGTCAATGGTACAATGGTACATTGACATGATCTTAGACTGAAAGAAGACTCTGAAAGAAGTTCAAAATTTACAGTATTAACCACTGTATTGATCTTGGTGTCTGCTAAACAATCCACAGCTGAATGTTGTAAAACAAATCTTCTGGTCTGTTTTTATATCTGCAAGAGAAAAAAATGATGCCTTGATGAAATTCTGAGATCACAATGACAATAGTGACTCGGACAATCAGACAAAGAAGCATCAGTGATTGTGGCAACATTAAAGGTCTAACTTTTTTCTCAATGAGTTTCAATGTCTTGAACTGATCAGATTTGTTCAGTTGAGAGCTGCTCGAACCTGCCCAGCCCTAAAACTGAGTCCCCCGCTGATGCACACACACAAAACACAGGAACCGTGTCCTGCCAAAAGTCCAGATGTGAGGGGGAGGAAAAAATGAAAGAGAGAGGGGGAAGAAAGAGAGGGAGAAGGAGTGAGAGACATTACATGTATGTGTCTATGCACATGCTGTCAGGCCTCCGCATGAGACCAACACCCATATTTGAGTGTGTGGGCTGGAGCAGTCATATTGTTATCATAGCACTCTCCCTTTTTAAAAAAAATAAACATTCAGTGTTTAAAAAATATTCCCATCGAAAGCTCTCTTACACCAAGGCCAAAATTAATTCACTGTAACTGCAGGAAACTGTTTAAAATAATCTGACCCAGTTTTATGTTTTAATCACTCCTTAAAACTCCTGCACTATACAGCTCCTTTTGTAATGTTAAGTGCAAGCCTGTTTTAGCTGAAGTCTAGACACTGTGACTACTTTGTTTCATTTGGTCATAATCCCCTTCGCAATACATCCTCCAGTTTTCATTTCTGTGCTAAAATTTGTTTTTTTTTTTAAAACAAAAAAACGTTTTGCTGTCTGAGTCTTTAGGAGAACGTAAAGGCAGAGCATTCTGCTGCTGTCTGTAGGGGATATTAATAGCTATCCCAAGGCTATAGTTTGAGGGAAGCCTTCAGAGCCCAGGGCTTGCCAGAGTTCTTGATTTACCAACCCAACGTGCAATTATGTGTGTGCCACACAAATACCAATTTGGGTGTGTAAAACAACTAGCGGAGGTTTAAAGGGAATTTTGTTTTAGCCGTGGGTGATATATGCATTTGTTGGGGGGTTTATTATTCACTGCAGCAGCTGGGAGGGTGGGGGAGTCACCTGGAAGGCACAACTAAATTGTGCTTATATGTGTGTGTGTGTCTTTGTGTGTGGGACAGTGACAGACTAATGACACACTCCAGCTCCCAGCATCACTGTTGTACACCCGGTATTTTTCTTTGCTGTTGAATGCAAAACACTGTGCATGTCTGAATCCACAGCTCCTTCTGCAGGGGTGGTGGTGGTGGTGGGGGGGGGGCCGAGTTAAAGGTGGTACAGTAACCATTGTGCTGAAATTTCTCCACTGCACCAACGCTGATGGAAAGACACAAAGAGTGGGAATCTGCTGTGTGCTGAAAACCTCAAAGGTTTGTTGATCTTGTTGCGGTGCTGACTGGAAATCAAATATTCTGTCTCTCGGGTGTGGAGAGGTCAGGAATTTTGTTTTTCAAGTCGAGGCCGGTGCCAATGGCTTTCCTCCTCATGGCTCACTGACGGTTGTTTCCATGAAACACACCACACACAGGGGGAAAAAAAAGAGCTGAACCTCAATAACTTAAACCACTTCCTTACATTCGTCCCTGCTTTTTAACCACAGCGGCTGGTCCCCCCTCGGCAGACCTAAGGGATATGAATAATCCGCCTGGGCTCTGTCTGAGAGCAAACAAGCCTGGCAAGGCGCACGTTACAGATCTGTGACACAGGGCTCTCTCTGTCTCTCTGAGGGTATTTTGAGGTCCAGTGGAATGGGATTAGGGGAGAACCGGAACTGGTTAAACATGCAGAGAATGCCAGATATACATTTTTTTTAAAATCTTTTCCATGTAATGCAACCAAGGGTTAGAGTGGTAAATGCTGCATGGGGGAAAAACATCACTGTCAGTTTAGTTTTTCTCTAACAAATGCCACTGGAGGCTGCTGTAATGTCCTCTTCTCTGCTGAATGTGTGATGGAAATGTATCCCTCTAGTGAAATCTAGTCAGAACAAGTGAAACAAACAGTGAACACATGCTACTTAAGATGTTTTTTATCTTTACAGAAAGAGCGCATCCCAACAGTCTGAGCCAAGTAGTGGCATTTGTCAATGATCAAAGAACACAAGCCGTGATACGCAGTTTGGAAGAGGAATGAGGATGACGGTGTGTGTGCCAGTCAGTAATGAGGGGGGGAGAACTTGCCTGTGCTGGATGGGAATGCGTTATATTTTAGTCTTAAGTGTATAATGATAGGGTTTGGTTAAATGCACCCTCACATTTAAATGTTTTCTTGTCTGGTGCTGATAAACACCTATGCTCATGCATGAGTAACTGAGCCTGGTACCTCAACGTCTCCATTCTGCCGCATTGACTCAGCAGTGACCTGCAGTTTTGTAATATGCGGTCAGTGAGAGTGTAAATCATCTTTAAACTCAAAGATGGAAGCTGGTGACTGGACTGAATTTCAAAATATGAAAATATGTATTTGAAAACATTTCTAAATATGGTCAAGTGTGCGCTTTCAGTGTTGATGTGTGACTCTTCAC